GGCCTCGTGCCTCCCCCCCCACCCCCCCCACCCCTGGGTGGGGAGCCCCCAGCCGGGCCGGGTGCCCCCCCCACTGCCAACGGCTCAGGTGAGTGTGGCCCAGGGACGGTGGGGACGCTCCCCAGGAGGGGTCTGGGGGCACCCCGGGGTGGGTGTGACGTGCCCCCCTCCCTGTGGCCCTCAGTGAAGGTGAAGAAGCCGATCCAGACCAAGTTCCGCATGCCCGTCTTCAACTGGGTGGCCCTGAAGCCGAGCCAGATCGACGGCACCGTCTTCACCGAGCTCAACGACGAGAAGGTGCTGCAGGTGAGCCCGGGGGGGCACAGGGGCTCAGTGCCCGGGCCGTGCTGAGGTGGCCTCCTGCCCACCCGCGGTGTCCAGGGCTGCAGGAGGAGCTGGAGGTCAGGAAAAGTCCTTAGCACCATGGAGAGGGACCAGGGATCAGGCGTGCTGCTCCTTTCACCCTGTCCTTGTCCCTTTGCCCCATCTGCACATTCACAACCTGTCCATTTCTTCTTCCTCATCTCCCTCCTCTGGTCCCCCCAGCCCCTCCTCACCCCTCCCAGTCCCCTTGCCTGTCCCTGTTCTTGTCCCCTTGTTCCATCCTCATCCCCTTGCTTCATCCTGATCCTCACTCCTCACCCTTATCCTGGTCCTCCGGCCCCGTCCTCACCCCAGATGTCCCATGCCCCCTGTCTGCCGTGCCCACAGCCCTGTGTCCCCGCAGGAGCTGGACATGAGTGACTTCGAGGAGCAGTTCAAGACCAAGGCGCAGGGCCCTGCCCTGGACATCAGTGCCCTCAAGGCCAAGGCCACGCAGAAGGCCCCCAGCAAGGTGACCCTGATGGAGTCCAACCGCGCCAAGAACTTGGCCATCACCCTGCGCAAGGGCGGCCGCAGCGTCCAGGACATCTGCACGGCCATCGAGACGTGAGTGCCAGGCTGGGCAGGGTGGGCCAGGTCAGGACAGCCCAGCAGGGACGAGGGGCTGGCATGCTGCAGGGTGTGGTGGGATGGAGGGATTGCTATGGGGATATGGGGATGCAGGAACAAGACACAGAGAGGTGGAGGGTGGAGAGATCAGAGATGGAGAGATGGAGGAATGAAAGGATCAGATACAGTCAGATGGAAGGTGGAAGGATCAATGTGGAGAGATGAAGGGTGGAGGGATCAGAGATGGAGGAATGAAAGGATCAGATACAGTCAGATGGAAGGTGGAAGGATCAATGTGGAGAGATGGAAGGATGCAAGCTGTGGGGATGGAGAGATGCAGGGATGAGATGTGAGACAAAGGGCTGGGAGGTCCAGGCACAGACAGATGCAGAGAGCAGCTGTGGGGATGGAGGGATGCAGGAACCAGACAGGAAAGGAAGGGATGTGGGGACCAAAGACAGAGAGATGGAGGCATCCGTATGGAGATAGATGCAGGGTCCAGATACAGAAAGAGGAAGGGATGCAGGAACCAGCTGTGGGGACAGAGGGATGATGGAACCAGCCGAGGGTGACAGGGGGGCTTTGGGACCTGCGGCAGGGCCTGACAGTGCCAGGGGTGTCCCCTCCCACAGGTACGACCAGCAAGCCCTGAGCCTCGACTTCCTGGAGCTGCTGCTGCGCTTCCTGCCCACCGAGTACGAGCGGACCCTGATCGGGAAATTCGAGCGGGACCAGCAGCCGCCGGAGGAGCTCTCGGACGAGGACCAGTTCATGATCCGCTTCAGCAAGATCCCGCGCCTGGCCGAGCGCATGAACGTCATGATCTTCCTGGGCAGCTTCGGCGACACGGCGCAGCTGCTGATGCCGGTGAGCGCCGGGGCCGGGGCGGCGCGGGGCGGCTCCTGCGGCCGCACTCACACCTCCCCTCCCTTCCTCCCTCCGCAGCAACTCAACGCCATCATCGCCGCCTCCATGTCCCTCAAATCCTCCAGCAAACTGCGCCACATCCTCGAGGTGAGGGCTCCGGGGGGAGGTGGCCCTGCGGGGTGCACACTGTGGTCTGTGGGCACCGTGCCCTCCTGGCCCCGTGTCCCCAAGCCGTGGTGTCCCTGCAGATTGTCCTGGCCTTCGGGAACTACATGAACAGCAGCAAGCGTGGAGCTGCCTATGGCTTCCGGCTGCAGAGCCTTGATGCGGTAGGGCCGGTGCGGGGGTGGTGGGGCACTGCCACTGCCAGGGACCCGCCCTGGGGACACAGGGACACAGGGAGCAGCTGCAGAGATGGAGGGACACAGGAACCTGCTGTGGGAATGCAGGGATGCAAGCACCAGCCGTAGGGATGGAGGGATGTGAGGTTTAGCTGTGGGGACAGAGGGATGAAGAGACTGATGGGATGGAGGAGGCAAAGGAATGGGGTGGGAAGGATGGAGACCTGATATGGAGAGGTTAAAGGATTCAAGGACCTTGATGGAGGAAAATGAGACAAAGGAAGATGGGGACCAGCTGTGGGGATAGAGGGAGGAAGGTCACACATGGGAATGTAGGGATGAAGAGCCAGCTGCAGGGACAGAGGGATGCACACCCAGCCATGGGCATGGAGAAGGATGGGGATCAGCCATGGGAGTGGGGGATGCAGACCTGGATGGGGGATGAAGGGATGGATACAGACCCAGCCACGCGGACAAAGGGCCACCCTGAGCAGGGGAGGGGGTGGTGGCTGCGGGTCCAGGCTGACCCTCCCTGCCCCAGCTCCTCGAGATGAAGTCCACAGACCGCAAGCAGACGCTGCTGCACTACCTGGTGCGGGTGATCATGGAGAAGTACCCGGAGCTCACCGGCTTCCACACCGAGCTGCACTTCCTTGACAAGGCAGGCACAGGTAGTGCCCACGGGCCCCGGGCTGGGGGTCGGGGCAGCTCCTGGCACCCCGAGCCTGCCCTGAGCCCGCAGTGCTCGCCTCCTGCAGTGTCCCTGGATGGTGTCCTGCAAGACGTGCGAAGCCTGCAGCAGGGCATGGAGCTGACCCGCAGGGAGTTCATGCGACAGGACGACAGCCCCGTGCTCAAGGACTTCCTCAAGGTCAACTCCGAGGTGATGGAGAAGCTGCAGGCTGACAGCAAAACCGCCAAGGTGGGTGCTGGGCTGGGGTGGGGTCATGGGGGCAGTCCCCTGCATGGGGACACCCTGGGGTAGCCTGCTCACACCTCTGCTCCATGGGATGTGGCTGCAGTGGGACAGGCAGGAGGGAACAGGGCACGATGGGCAGGTGGGAGAGGCTGGGAGGAGGTGGTGGGCGATGGGCAGCACTGCCCAGCCCCCAGATCAGGTGTCTCTGCCCACAGGAAGCCTATGAGTCAGCTGTGGAGTATTTTGGGGAGAACCCCAAGACCAGTCCCCCCACCACCTTCTTCCCCATGTTCATGCGCTTCATCAAAGCCTACAAGGTAGGAGGGGACATGGAGTTCTCTGTTTCTGAGGGCTGGGAGGAGATCTGGGGCACCTGACTCCACTTTGGAGCAATCAGCAGAAGTCACAGGCAAGGCTGGGGCTCAGGAATGCCCTCGGGATGGTCAGAGATTTTGGAGCTGGCTGTGGGGTGAAGAAGGAAGGGGGCTGCAGTCCTGGGTTCCCCTGGCTCAGCACACCCTTCCTGCCCCTCTCCCAAGAAAGCAGAGCAGGACATCGAGCTGTGGAAGAAGCAAGAGGCCGCAGCCAAAGAGGCAGAATCTGGCTCCCCTGGCAGCGAGCAGCAGCCCGAGGTGAAGGTGCCCCCATGTCTGTGTCCTGGTGGGGTCCCAGCCCTGGCTGGGCTGAGTGGTGGGGAGGGACTAAAGAGGTCCTGGGGAGGGAGAGCTGGGTGGGAGGTGAAGGGGGGTACCCCACCTCCCCTGGGGTGTGATCACACTGTCCCCTCCCAGCTGCCCGTCCAGAAGGCCAGGAGGCAGCAGATGGACATGATAGCTGAGCTGAAGAAGAGGCAGATGGTGAAGGAGCCACTCATCTACGAAGGCAAAGATGGGGCCATTGAGGACATAATTTCAGGTGAGAGATGAGTTCAGGTGAGCAGCCAGGTGTCCCCACATCACAGACCCAGTGCTAGGGGCTGTCACAGGAGCTGGGGGGTCACCAAGCCCTGTCATGGGGACCAAACCCTCCTGCAAGCACCTTCACACCCCACATGGCAAAGCTGCCGAGTGCTCCCTCCTCTGTCTCATGTCTCTTCCTCCTCTTCTGCTTCTTCCTCCTCTCTCCTCCTGCTCCTCCTCGCTGTCTCTGGAC